ATGAATTTGATATTCTCCCACCTACAGAATAAGGAATTGATTAAGTTCATCCTTCATCCCTTTGAGATAATCATTCATTCTTAAATGTAAAAGGGTCTATTTTAGAGTACAAAGAAATAGCAAGCATTTCCTGTACGAAGGGAATTTCTGAAAAGAAATTCTTGCCAAACGTATCTCACTGAGAGAGTGAGTCACTAAGAAGGGCACGTGTGTCCCTTAATTATGGATCTGCTGATTATTAAGAGGGTTAGAGCACATCCCACTTGGGGTTCGTCAAAGCCGTACAGATTTTGCAATTCCTTTTTTATTTATAAAGCTGTTAAGATTAAAATCATTACTGGTATCCGTCTAATTTTAATGAGAGCTTTCCACACACTTTTTGGACCTCGAATTTAATTACATGCTCACTTACTAACACTGATCTAGAAAACAAAATGGACATTTTAGAAGAAATGTGAATATTAATGGTACTGCTACTAAAGCTAGCATCTTCTCCATGAATGTGTGAGGGATCTTTCTTCTTACAAATCTGTGATACCTGTTGGAGCAGGTTCTACATCTATCTAGACCATGTGGGGCTGCCATGACCCTCAAGTGAATACAGCACCAACAAAACGTGCTGGATGAATCCTTGAATGAATTCTTTGATAAAAAAAATACATTAAGTTTTTATGACTATTTTTTTAGGTAGGAAATCTGAGTCTAGGGTAAATTAAAACTTTATCAGCAGGGGCCAGCACTGTAGCATAGTGGGTAAAGCCACTGCCTGTGGTGCCAAAATCCTATCTGGGCACTGGTCGGAGTCCCGGCTGCTCCACTTCAGATCCAGCTCTCTGCTATGGCCTGGGAAAGCAGTAGAAGGTGCCCCAAGTCCCTGGTCCCCTGCACCCATGTGGGAGACCCAGAAGAAGCTCCTCGTTCCTGGCTTTGGATCAGCCTGACTCTGGCCATTGCTGCCAACTGGAGAGTGAACCAGCAGATCAAGACCTCTCTCTCTCTCTCTCTCTATCTCTCTCTCTGCCTCTCTGAGGCCTTTCAAATAAAATAAGTAAATAAATCTTTAAGAAAAAAAAATCCCTCATGTCTGTAAATGTGACCTCATTTGGCACTAGGGTCCTAACAGATGTTAGGTCAGATGTCAAGTTAAAATGAGTCATTAGGGGGCCGGTGCTGTGGCATAACAGATAAAGCCACTGCTTGCAGTATCAACATCCCATGTCTTTCAAATAAATAAATCTTTAAATAAATGAGTCATTAGGAGGTCCCTAATCCAATGCAATCCTTATATAAAAGAGAAATTTGGACACAGGCACATGGGGAGAACATTGTATGAAGATGAAGGTGGAGATATCAATGATGCATCTATAAGCCAAAGAACACCAAAGACTGTCAGCAAATCAGAGCAGAGCATGGAATAAATTCTCCCTCTGAGCCTCAGGAGGAACCCTCTCTAATCACACCTTGAACTTGGATTTCAAGGGACTTCAACTCCAGAGTTGTGAGAAAATAGTTTCCTGTTGTTTAAATCATACAAGTTGTAGCATTTGGTTTCAGCAGCCCAGCAAACTAATCCATGGCCTTTCAGGCAAACCCATTATAGTTTGTATCATTTTTTACTTTAGTAAAATTTTGACCTATCCAGCTCCACTTCTGACTGCAAGGTCTGTCAAATCAAGGAATATGGCTTCATCATCTTGATATCTGCATATCCCCTTCACAGACACACTACTGATTCAAAATTAATTCTATTCTTTATATACCCTGCTCTACCCTGAAATCCATAGCAAAGGTATTTTCTGGGAACATTGTGTAATCGTCTATTATTTGGGTTCACTGAAACATAGTGATAGCTATGAGATCATTTCTGCTTTCTTGTACTGACATTTAAAACTCATCTTCCTTGTTCTCTACTGTTCTGCACTTACACAGTCAGGAGTTCAGCCATAAGTTATTGCTCTTGACTGGTCTCCCTGTTGTTTTCTCATGAGAATAACTGAACTCCTCCCCCATTTCCATTGTTTGTTTTTGTTAATACCTATCAACATTTATAAAATTGTGATTTATGGTTTCTTTGGCATAATATCTTCTTCTGTCGTTCCTTAAAAGTCTTTTCATTTTAGGTTCCAACTATATATAAAGCACTCTACTAGATGCTACAGATGGAGAGTTGAATAAAATATGGTTCTTGTACTCAAGGGATTCAGCAGTCACTTTCCTGAGCTTTTTTTTCCCTCCTCATTTTATTACCATCAATCACACACCTGTCATCAAATTACTTCCCATAACTTCCCCACTTCCTTTCAAATATATGAGTTTAGAAAAAGGAACAATATCCTGTGCCTCTAAGTTCATCAACTTCCTACTTAGATTTTCTAAACCTCCTTCCTTTTTTCAGCTGCAAGTATTCCCAAGTCAGTACACAGAAAACAAATGCAAGGCAAGTGTTTATCCTCGTGATTAAGACACCAAGTTGAGATGCCCACATTCCATAACAGAATGCCTAGGTTCAAGGCCCAGCTTGCTCTTGATTCGACTAGTTTCTTATTTTGGTGCACTCTGGGAGACAACAGGTATTGCCTTAAGTGGTTGAGTCCCTGCCACCCAGCAGGGACTGGGATCCAGGGCTCCTGATTTTACGCAGCCTATTTCTGGTCTTTGCAAACATTTGGGGAGGGAAGCGGAAGATGGGAGTAGCCTCTTATGCTTTCTCTCTTTCAGATAATTAAATAAAAGAATACTAACAGGCCGGTGCCGTGGCTCACTAAGCTAATCCTCCGCCTTGCGGCGCCGGCACACCAGGTTCTAGTCCCAGTCGGGGCACCAGATTCTGTTCTGGTTGCCCCTCTCCCAGGCCAGCTCTCTGCTGTGGCCAGGGAGTGCAGTGGAGGATGGCTCCTGGCTTCGGATCAGCACGATGCACCGGCTGCAGCGCACCGACCGTGACGGCCATTGGAGGGTGAACCAATGGCAAAGGAAGACCTTTCTCTCTGTCTCTCTCTCACTGTCCACTCTGCCTGTCAAAAAAAAAAAAAAAAAAGAATACTAACAATAAAAACAAAAATATTGTATTATTGTATGGTTAAGAATGAGAAGACTAGTTTTTTTCCCTTCCATATTATTTCATTTTCATATTATTAATTACATATATAAGCATACTTCAAAAAGTTTGTAGAATAATGGAGTTGAAAGAAAAGTTTATTTTGGAAAGAAAATTTTGAATTTGATGAATACCAGGCATCTTCAAAAATTCATGGAAAATATATATTACTAAAAATATATAGATTTCAAAATTGTTTTTTGCTGAAATAAGCTTATCTTTTAATTTATGTTTCTTTTTTTTAAATACCATGATAATTTTGGTATGGAATTATTCACCCATATCTGTTTGTGGGGTGGTTGGGAGGAGGGGAGTCTATTCAACATGACATCATGGCAAAATTTTGCTTATTCAATAATGCTTAGAAATGGTTCTTTGTGTGTCTAGAAAAATACCATAATTTTTTTTATCTCTTCAAGAAAAATGTTATGTCATGCTATAGTGGTGATAATTATTTTTCTTCATAATTTTTCTCAGTGTCATATTTATTCACTCCTGAACCTCTTAACACTGGTATTGATCCTCCCAGAACTTCCTCTCACCTCCTTAGAGTCTATTTTTTATTTTCAGCCTACTTTCAGAATTACTTTATTTTTTTCATCTTCTCCAGGGCTTTTTCATTCTCAGTAAGAGGAAGCACATAGATACATTCTTGACATCCTTGAACCTTCTTCTAAAAGAAAGATTAGTATGCATTTAGAGCACACATAATTGATGAATATCTCAGCAGAGAAGACAAACATAGCACATATTCTACAGGTCTCTGGAACAGTACTCTCAGTTCCCACACTTCCTGGATTCACCAGCTAAAACATAATCAAAGAAGAATGGCTTTCAAAGCTCCCACACAAACAGGTCTCAGAATGCCCACGTTGGAGACATAAATAATCTTAGCACAATATACAGGGAGGTGATTATCAAGCAGACACAGTCATGTTCTTTCACACAGAATGGCTCTCCCTGAGAAAATCATTTTAAAATATTGACATGTCAAAGTCATTTATAACCCCCAAATTATACCTGCAAATCTGTGACATTTTTACTATTATATTATTTTCTTGGCAAAAGGAGATACTTACTAAATATTTGTACTTCCCTTGGCACACAAGATAGCATCAAAATTTATTTCCTTATGTTTTAAACACTTCTCTTTCAGGATATTAGATTATGTAATTTCTTTTGACCACAGCTACAACATAGCCCTCTTTCAAAACTCAGCTAACCAAGCTTTTCCCACTTTTTCATCTTCCCAAACACATTTGTTACATTCACAGCTACCCAAACTACGTTGTTGACAAGCAAGTTTCTGATATGCCACTATTCCATGATAGTTTTATGTATTATTCAGCATTCACAGAGCAATTGTCAGTCAGGAAAAGACTCAAAATATCCAAGCTTCCTTTACTTTTTAAGCACTTTATGTGAGCTTTGTCCCAATGCTTTTTCTTTCTTTATTGTGATTCCTTTTAATGTTGGATTGGAAAATGTGATTAAATTTTAAGTTCTTAGTGAATAGGGATAACACTCCCAAATCTATCTACTAATGAGACATGACTCACACAGAATAAATGGTTGGCAGCCATGACACCTCTTGTGTGTAGCTTTGAAATGGTCAATAAATGGCCAGTTCTTCCCAAGCAAACAACTATTCTCAAGGTTAAGATTATAGTTCCCATTTTAAGACTTCTTTTAAAAAATTGCACTGCACTCTCTGACATGTACAGTTTTAACCAAATCTATACGTCTATGCCTAGGTATTCTTCAAACCAAATCTAATCAGTCTGCAAATTGTCTTCTATTTATGTAGTATTTAGCATACCCCAACACTATATTTGAAAAGTGAGATACACATTGAAGATTAATCAAGAATCTTATAAGACTTTATCTTGAGCTTCAAACTTACCTGGAATCCTCTCCCTCTGGTCCTTCAAGTACCTCTAATTGTGTTTGGTCACAAAGTACAAATATCCTGTCACTGTGATTTTCTTCTCTCCTTTCACCCAGACTTTCCAGGGAGCTCTTCTTCCTCTTGGTACAGTTCAGACAACACTAACTTTGAATCTCTTCCTTATGTTTATTGCCTCCCTCAAACACTTGGGAATCTGTTCATATTTGGGACTTCATAACTCTTTATGCATGCCTCTATTGGTTCTTAGATGAATGAATTATCATTGTTTAAATTCAAGCATTATCTCCCCATTTGTTTGTGTTGTCTTCCAATGCAAGAGTTATGTCCATTAAGCTCAAAAATCTATTTATTCTGTTTATATTTCTTTACTCTTCCACCATGAGTCAGAGATTGGTGCCCTATGGAATAGATTCTTCAGTAAGCAAGAAGGTCATAGGTTTTCTCCAAAGGAGGTTAAATCTCCTGGGGAAGGCAAATAATAAACAATCAACAATAGCAGAGTGTATTATATTCTCAAAATCTGGCAAATACAGTCTCTCAAAACATGTTGATAAAATAATTAATTTTTCTAAAATCAATAAGCCATCATAAACATAGGGGAGAAGATTATTCATAAAGTTGATAATCCATATAAAGAAATATTTTTATTCAAGGGTCTGTCTGACTCACATGAAGTTGTGAGAAAGTGATGATGGATTCTTGGTGCATGTCCCACTTAGTATGAGGAAGAGCAAGGTAGATAATCAATTGTCAAATGCTTCATTCATGTTTTTTTTGTTGCCCAGCCAATGGTATTTTCCACACCAAAATTTAGAAATAGGAATGTGCTGTACTGGCTTCAAAAGAAGGCGGAACTCCAGCCAGGGAAAAAGAAAGACTTCCAGCCAAAAACAAAAAACACTTTAATTAGTCGTTTCATTTCAAGATGTTGAAACAGCTCCAACCCAAGGAGACCAAGGCCTTCGGAGTCAGAACAGCTGAAAGAAGAGGAAAAAGATGTTTCATTTATTGGGAGTTTGATCTGAATCCAATTTGGAAAAGAAAGCCTAAAACCTTTTAGAATAATAAACCTGGCGATAACAGAAAGTTGTTTTCCTTCATATGAGAGACCTTAATTCCACATGAAATCTATTTCAAAAATCTTTAAAAGTTTATGATCATAACAGGTTTTTAACAGTTATTTTAACTGAGTTAGTTAATAATATGCATTGATTTCTGTAATATATCCTATTTATGTGCTGTTTATTAAAAACGATTTCAGAAATCTCATGGCTGAAGGACTGGCATGTATTTCTGGAATAGAAAATATATCTGAGAGAATTTGGAATCACTTATATTTTAAAGTACCAATAAAGACAATTTAGAGGGATCTTTCAATTCTCAGACTGTAAGAATGCATTGACATTAAATTGAATCGGCATTTAGACAGGAAGTGTTTAAGAATACTTTCTTCTCATCTCTCAAATGCAACACTCTTATCTTTAAAACCAAAAGATGTCAAAATATTGATCGCTTTTGTATTTACATTTGAAGCAGAAAGGAGGAAAGAAGTAGGAGAACTAAGAGAATGAGCCCATTTACAGACCATGTTCCAAGTTACTCAAAATTCTGGAAGAAATCTATCAAGAACTTCAAACCTTATAATGATTTCATATACATTCCAGCAAGTACTAAATTTAAAAATTAATTTAAAAATCCAAATGCATTCTTATTTTGTCTACACTATTCCTTTTCTGAATAATTTACAGTAATGGAAATGATGCCCAATACTTCATTCATATTGTCTCCGCATCATAGTCATCAAGATTTTTCACACACGATGTTAGCTCTGGTTATGAAAGAGACTTTTTCACCTTCTTGCACTCACTTGTTCCAAATTCTTATAGTTCTCCCAACAAGCTATGTGTTTTAATTCTTGTCTTCAAGCTTTCTATGCATCTTCATCTGAAAAACTTACCCAATATTTCTTCCTTCACTGTACTCTCATAGCAGCTTACAGAAACTTTCCTGATAGTTTACGATATTTAATTCCATTTCATGGCTATCTCTTCCTATAAAGCCCAAATAACCAAGACTGTGTTCCATGTATCTTGGTACTCTAGAACCTCATCATTTTTTACCTGCATGAATGAAAGAATGATGGAGTTGAAAACCTCAGGTCTTGAGCAATGTTATACCTTGAAAGATAATCTAACTTTAATGGATTCTTTGTATATTAAAGACCCCTCTCTAGATGGTTTGCAACACAAGAAGAAATGGCATATGTGGGCAGAATCAAATTCATGTCACATAGATTCATTCAGCATATGGACCAGGTGGTATCAAGAGAACACTAACTGGACTTTTCTGAAATAGAAATAACCTCAACAGTGTGTAGATCTATTTGTCTCCAGATTTCAAGATTGAATCACTTTCATCCTTCCAAATAATTGGAAAAGTACTTTTCAGAAAATTAAATGGCTTTTGAAATTTTTATCAGCATGAAGAAAAATCTCCAGAAAAACATAACATCATTTGTGTCCTATAAACATCAGGGAGTAATATAAAATAGTGTCATGACAGGAAGTAAGAAATAAATATCAGTATTATCATTTTCCCTTACATAATAATTCATAATAGCTACTAAATTTTCTAAAGCTGAATTTTGCTATCTATATCTGTAAATATATCTATATAATATATGGACAATGTCTGTGTTACCACCTATGGGATGTTTTTGAAGCACATCACAAAGGAAAAAAAACACACTTGACTCAAAGGAAGCAATTCTGGAGCTGGATTAAATGCAAATAGAGAAGTGGAGCTTTTAGTCTCAGCATCTCCTTTTTCCTGTCAAGTCCCACAACTGTCCCTGCTTTAGGAGCAGGGCAGCATCACACCAAAGCACTTCTCTGATATCAGCACCCAGGTAGATGAAATACTAATAGGATATGCTTAGTCTCCTGTACCTAATTCCAGTCAGGATCAGTCAGCTCTAAACACCAGCAATGTTGCCTTCTCCACAGTTTACAGCATACCTCCATCTCTCTCCTCTCACCAGCTCCCCTTATGCCACCATCATCCCTTACATGGGCTTCTATAAAAGTCTACACTCTCAGCTGCCTATGCATGAGAGTCCAAAGCCACATTATAATCCAGGCTCTCCTGGTTCTCTGTGTCTGCTCACAAGATCACTGAAGATTCCATAAAAGCACAAGGTCATATTTGTGTTTTTAGACGATTACTCTTGTTTCAGGGAAGAGATTGGGTGAGGTGATTGGCCCAGTAAGGACACTCTTGTAAAAGTCCATACAAAATATGATGGCAGCATGAGGTGAACTGGTTATAGAAGGGTGTGTGTATGTTGGGGGAGGGCGGTGGGAGTAGGTGTTATGGACTATGGAAAAGGCTATCTTGCTGCTCCTTAGACCACACTGAATGATCTTGAATGGTATAAGATACAAGGCTGATCAGATTCGCATCAGTCAATACCAGGTGTTTTGTTGTTGTGTTGTTATTTGAATCAGTTATATTTGATAAAGCTAAAATGAACACTGAATTAGCACATATTGAGGCATTTCTCCAAAAGGAAATACAGGGTTATGTTCCCAAAGCCTCTGGTCACACATTTTCATCAACAAATCAATGCAGAACTTTGTTTTGTGTGTGTTTAAGACATGTTATTTAACATATATTGCTGATTAATTAGTTTTGAGCACATAGCCAATAACACTGAAACTGAAGCCTAAGTGAAGCTTACCTAACACATGCATTTTCTCTATCACAGCTTTTTTGTACTCAAGAACATCAAACAACACTCTAGTACTACACCTGTGGTCCACTTCCAATAGCAAAATCACCAACAAAACTCACATAAGTGCAAAAAGCATCGTACCAACTAGGCTGTGAAAAGGACACTTGTCTACATTGTAAGAACTGAAACAAGAAAGCATAGTATTACCTTCTTCGCCTTCAGCTGAAAATGTGCACCTTGGGTAACGCAAATATTTTACCACTCTTCACATGTTGACAAATGGTAGCAGAAATGCTATGAATATTGATTTTAGAACTACAGAGAAATTTTAGAGAGTAGGCAAATTTGCAGATAGGGAATACACATATGAGGGCTAACTATATTTGTTGAAAGACTATTGTGTACGTGAAGGGTATGACTAAGGGTAGCATACATAGCCACTGGAGAAGGGGGAGTGGATAACAATGTCTCATTTTGTCCTATGCTATTTGCAACATTCTATAGAAGGGTAACACATTTGAAATTACCATATCCAATTGGAGGGGATTAAGCCTCCTAAGACTCTTTTATTCAAGTGAGTTAGCCAATTAAGAAGATCCTAGTGTATCCACTCAGGGGAAAACACTATAATGTCTTATGCCTACAAGGAAAATGTAAGATGTGAAAGTGTGCCAACGGCTCATTAATTACATACATCTTTGTAAGAGTTTCAATGCTTTCTGATCACAGGACATCTTAGAAATGAATGTGTGAATCCTAGACAGTTTCAGAATAACAAAAACAACTCTGAACTCATTGGGTAAATAAGTAATCATGCCAATGAATCATATGCAAATAAATCTTAAGCCCAAAGGACATTTTAATACCCTGGTAACTCTTTAAGTAAATCCATGTGAGAATTTTAGTACCTAAAGTGAAAATAGTGACTTCTGGGCTTCTTGCCAATTTCATTTGGGGTGTGAAATTTCCAGCATACTAGCTGAATTTCTTGGAATCTTATAAGCATTTTTTTTACATAATTGATACTGATTCTCCCACCCACAAGATGACCTACTTCTTTGTACCTAGCATTTACGGAGACTCAAGAGTTTCAGCCTGAGAAGGACGTTCTGAATGTCAGGACCTCAGTCCTCCCATAGCGACACCCCCTTTTCCTCAACACTGGCAAGAACACTTCACCTCCTGGGGAATGTCACAGCACATAGGAAGGAAGGAAGTGAGTGCCACCAAATCCCCATCCCAGGTTATTTGAGGTAAAGGGAAAAATAACAATCTCAGGAAGTGCCAGTGCCAACCCCATCTCTCTCTTCTCCAGCTTCTCTCAAGACTCCTTCTTTTGGGAACATCAGCAATCTGTCCTTTAGAAGCTTCATGATTTCCTTCGAGCTCACTGCCTGAACAACTTCCTAATGTAACTCTTATTATTTCTCTCCATGTGTATTTTTACTGTTGAGTGTGAGGAACAGGAAGAAACACGCAGTAGAAGGAGGGTTACCACCCGCCATTCCTTAACCAAATGAGAGACCAGAGAAGAAGAAAATTGCAAGGATCACACAGTTTCTCCTTTATTGTGGACAGGTTGGTCTGCATCCTCTGAAACTTCAAAGTACAGGAATGGATATCGTTCAACCAAAGACTGCAGATGAGGCTTGCCTCAGGCACAGGAAATCTAGCATGCAAGGGCTAGCCTTTCTGTCATGACAGAGGCATGGTATTCCCAACTCCAATGCCAGGCCAAGTGTGGGCCATGCCCAATAGAGAGGGAGGCAGTCTGGGTGAGTACTCGGGTCCTATGCAAGCCAATGGAACTTTCTAGAGGGCAAGGAAATAGCCAGAAAAAGAGCTTGGTAGGGGAGGAGAGCTGTGATCTTACCAATGCCCCAAGCTGAGAAGGAGTTATGGTAGCCACCCAGAATAGAGGCTCAGCCTTTCTTATGGTATTTCCAGTGAGAAAATTTGACCAAGAATCTACTAGGAACCAAAATACACACCATAGAAAAACCAGACATCTGCCAGGCCCAGGTTGTGAAGCCAACAGCAAAACCCTGAGTTTTTGCCTCCCTCCTAGTCACAGCAATAAATAGAAGTCTGTTAGATGGGAGATTCTTGCTCTCCTCTCTTCCCTCCCTCCAGGCTGACTCAAATCTATGCCAGGCAAAACTTGATGCTTTGACACTGAGCCAAGTTAGGTGTCTTGAATACCATCTTGCAGCAAACATTAAATGTTTCAAATTGAGACTATGT